GTCCCCATCAAAACCCACATCTGGCTGGCTCCACTGGGTCCACAGGTCCCCGAAACCCAGCCCTTCTCCCCACATTCATGTGTTTATTGAGCAAATATATTGAAGGCCTACTNGCAAGTGGGGAGGGCAGCGGCTCCTCATCCCAACCAGGTGGACTTCCTTGAATCCCCCCCCACACACACATTACAGATGGACAAACTGAGACCCAGAGATGCCAAGGGACATGCCCAGGTTCCTGTAGCCAAGACAAGAGGAAACGCCCAACAGAACCTCTCTCTTTCTTTCCAGTCCAAGGGTCTTCCCGCTACTTCCTAAGAAGAATCCCCAAATGTGGATGAGATGGCCCTTGTCTCATAGCCTACTCTGCCACCTCCTAGCTGTGGGATCTCGGTCTGATTACAGTAACCTCAATGAGACTCAGGGGCGTGGTGACTGGCACATAGTAGGTGTTTAGGAATGCTTGGTTGCTTCTCCTTCACTGCTTTCATGGTCCCAGCCAGCCAGCGGGAGCTGGGACCCTCTGCACAGCACTTACTGTCCCCATCAAAACCCACATCTGGCTGGCTCCACTGGGTCCACAGGTCCCCGAAACCCAGCCCTTCTCCCCACATTCATGTGTTTATTGAGCAAATATATTGAAGGCCTACTGGGTGCCAGACAATGCTCTGGGGAGAGGGTGAGCCAGGCATAAGGCACAGCGTGGGGACAGGCACAGAGGGCCTGAGCTGAGCCCCCCGACCGCTCAGCGTACACATCCATGCGATGCATGCTCTGTTCTGCAGCATCTACGTGCACATGGTCCCATCCCAGGCCCTGGGCCACAGCTAGAGACGAGGGGGTGTGAGTGGGGAGGAGGGGCAGAGGGCTTGTTTATTCTTCAAGGATTTGCTAATTAACTAGGACATCTAAGGCCAGGGACTTGGCGACACTGTTTTCACTTGCTACCCAGACTGGGAGCAGCAGAGAAAGCGGGTGACTCCCACCTGACACCCTTGAAATTGCTGCCTTTGCCTCCTTCAGGGCTCTGGCAGGAGCACCAAAGAGCCCAGGGAGGGCGGCGGGCTGCAGGCCACGTCCCTGCTGGGGTCAGAGATGGAGGTTCTGCTTGGGGTGGGAACGAGGGCGGGGCTCATGTCCTGAGGCTGCTCATAGCACGACAGCAGTTTTATCAGGGCCTCTGTGGCATGGGGGTTAAGGGCACAGAGTCTAGACTGAGACTGCCTGGGCTCAACTCCTGCTCCTGCGCTTCACGCCTTGGGTGGCTCCAGCAAGTTATGTAACCTCCCTCACCTCGGTGTTCAGATCTGTAAATGGGATGATCATAGTACGCACCTTGAAGGGTTGTTGGAAGGATTAAATAGGCAAGCACAGGTAAAACACTCAGAAAAGTGGGTGGTGCCCAGTCAACCTTGTGTCAGCATTTGCCGATAACCCGATCTTAAATTCAAGCAGAACGCTCCTTCTGGGTTGGATGGTTTGTTTTTTCACTGATGATGTGAACGTTGAGCACTCGGTTATGGTGGTGTTTGCCAGGTTTCTCCACTGCAAATTTACTTTTTCTTTCTTTCTTTTTAACCCTTTCTATACTTCCCTACTTCTTTCTTTGGAAGGGTGTCCAGTCCACCACACTCACGGTGGGGAGAGGGGTGCGGCGGGGGGCG